TTTTTCTAGCCCTCATAAATTTTTATAATAATATCCTGAAGTTAGTTTTCAAACAGTCTAATTCTCTCACTAAAAAGAATAAAATTTTTAACCCAGCCACTGAATTTAAATTAACTTTTTATAGTTGCTATTCAAAAGCCTTGTTTTAATCTGCTGCTATTCAAAATTAATTTATTTTTATTCCCAAATTACTCATTAAATTTCTGAAAACCTTTAAAAATATTTGTATTATGGATATAACGTTTTTCCTGATAAGGACTTTAACACCTATCTGGGAAAATTTACTCCCGTATTTGATTTTCTCTCAATCTGGCTGCTTTCCTGTCTTACCCTTTCTTTCTTCCTGGGGTTTTTCCATTCAGAGCTTGTTTATATACGTCGCCCAAAGCCCGGAAATGAGGAGAAGAAAACCTCTAACCAACGTTTTGCTGTCTGGGCACAATACCAGATTCTAAAAGGACAACACTGTATCTTGCTGTAATCTGATCCGAGATTTTACACTAGGTGTATTACTCCTTGCATCCTATCCTTAGGGAGGATACAAAGAGTGATTTCACAAGTCTATTGTCTACCTAGGAATATTAATACCAAAAATTTTATTTATTTATTTATTTTGAAGAGTCAGATAAGGCCATGAACGTACTGAGCATTATTATTTACCATCAGACACATTCCTCCGGCCATTGTTTCAGCACAAAGGGCTACCAGACATACAGACATGCACACACACACAACGTACATTCAAAAATATTATTCATTATTAATATTGTGGGGTAATGTAAAATTCTGTTTACTAAATTTGTAAGACCTAATTTGACTATACAATTTATTCGTCTTAATTTGAATTTTTTGTATGTATTTTTTTATATCTCAAGTACGAAATATAAAGACTTATGTCCATAAATCGTAAATAGAAACTTTGATTCATTTATACAATGCTAAAAGCTTGATTTTGCATTGCTTTACAGTAAAAACAGGTGGTTTTGTTTATAATGAGCAAATGTGTCTTAATAGAATTTCTTGAATATGTGATAGAAATGTTTTGATTACAAACCTTTGTTTTAAGAAAAACGTTTAAGTAACAAAAACTGTAAAAGTTACAATGTGATATTCAAACGACATTTCAAGAACCGCGCAAGTTTTCAGTTCTTTCATGAACATTCAGACCCTAAAATTTAGAACATTTTTATACTATGTGGAGAAAGCGTTTTAAGAACTTTAAAAACTTATATTTTAGAGATTTTCAGTTTGTGTTCTGCATTTTATTTGGTGATTATCCATAATATTTTATTATGGTAATTTCGAAGTTGCTTTTTTATGTGTTGTTTATATGTTTAGATATGGGAGAGTTCATAAACCAAATGATGGGGACATAGTGAAACAAAGGCTATGCTATTGAAACAATTCATTTGTTCTTTCATACATAATGTACAAAATCTCTCTTCCTTTGCTAACACTCTAATGCTTTTCTCTAAAGATTTTTTTTATCGTCAAGCGTTTTCTTCTTGAAGGGGGAATATGTAAAATATAAAATTTGAGAAAACAATTTCCAACAAATTACTAACTTAATTAGCAACAGCCCTTTTGGCTCCTGATTTTGTTTCCCTACATCTGCCTTCAAAAATTCTATACTGCATCAATAACGTCACTGATTCTTCTGCAGTAATCTGCAATGCTCTTAGTTCTTGCCTAGTCGCTGTTCAGGATTCAAAGAAAGTGTTCCAAGTTTATTTAATGAACCCTGCTGAACCACGTACTCACTTTTCTATGTTTGCTCCTTACTGGAAAACCTACATCTCTTCGCTTAGCTGTAGCCTCTATTATTGAAATAAGATCAGCATATATAAAATTGTGGGGCGCTTGTAGCACATCTAGTATTGTATCAGTCAAGAACATATGTCTTAATAGATTGGTCATCAAGAAATAAAGTGCTGTCTTAACTATCAAGCTAAATATGTTTTCTAAAGTTCCAGTCATCTAATACGCAACCTGCATGTTTGCAACATCTGTCATAACTATGTCATAACTACAGAGTTAATTGGCGCCTTATTCTCATCTACAAATAAATCATCACACACACACTTAAAATGTGTATATATTGCTCATTATAAACAAAACCACCTGTTCTTACTGTAAAGCAATGAAAAACATGTTCCAATTCCAGGATGATTCCAAATTCATGGTACAAACTTGGAGGGAATGTACAGAACAAAGATACGAATAATATTCTGATAGGAAACCCAAGTCGCAATACATTTATTTAGTCATAAATGCAAATTAAATACATTTACCACAAGAAAACTTTGAAATGAGATTGAGATCACATAACATTTCATATGAATTGCTTCAAATGAAGAACACTTACCATAGAAACTTTTATCACTCATTTAAAAAGATCTTGCTTCAAACTATGTCAAGAAACACATTTGCATGTTACTAATTTGCATAAAAAACACGATTACCGGTAGAGGGCAGTAGATGTGTAACTCAGGAGAGAAAGACACCATTCGCGATTGCATCGTCAAATTTGTGAAACAGGTTCTTTCCGCGTCCCAAACAGAATACTGGTCGACAAAGAACTGTACGCAATCCAAGATTTGAAGAAAGCATCTTGAGATTTGTGGCTGATACACCCAAGTCAAGTACAAGAGCTACTGCGCAATACATAGATGTGAGTCCACATACCATCTGAAGAGTGTTAAACGAAAATCACTTGCGCCCCTTCCATTTTCAGTGACTACAAGCTTTGAATCCTCTGCGCCTGAACTATCCTCTGCGCCTGAACTTCTGCCACTGGCTTTTGCAGCGATCTGCATGGCAGCTGGACTTCACAGCCCATTTGCTATTTACAGATGAGGCGACGTTTACCTGCGTGGGTGTATTTATTGCGCACAATTCTCGTGTTTGGGAAACAGAATTCAAACGCATCGTGATCACATGAATCTCAACAGCGAACAGTATGAATGTGTGTGCGGGTATCGTCCACGACTTTTTAATTGGCGCATACATACTGCCGCAGCGACTGAATGGCCAGCGTTATTTTATTTTTCTGGAACAAGTTGCAAGATGTTCCGATTTATATTTGGAAACGAATGTGGTTCCAGTATGATGGGACGCCAGCCCATTTCACTGATGTTCGCAATTACCTGAATGCTACTTATAGGGCGCAACGGATTGGTCGCGTTGGACCAGTCCCTTAGCCACCCCAATCTCCCAATTTATCTAGCCTCGATCATTTTTCTGTAGATATCTGAAGGATCTTGTTTATGCGACTCCAGGTGACTCAGCTGAGGATCTCGTTGCTTCAATATCAGAAGCTGCTGCGTGTGTGCGTGGAATACCCGATATCTTTGCCAGTATACGCCGGTCGCTCAATCGACGCTCTCAAGCTCTTTTTGCCGCTGGTGGACCGAATTTTGAAGAGTTCTTGTAAACATTTTGTTTCAAATGAAACACCGGTATTTCTGATTAAATAAATGAATCTGGGCAAAGAATTAATTCTTAGAATCTGGGCAAAGAATTAATGAGACATTTGCAGAGATCATTGATAGAGTAATCTACAGATTTGCCCTGAAATAGGTCAGCTTCTAAGAAGTGGATCATCTCACGATATTCAGTTTCTAACAAGGCATGTGCCCTTCATCACTTAATTACAAAGATGATGTGAAAACGACAGGTGCTTAAGCTGTGTTGCAAGGGGCCCGGATCTTTATGTGTTCCATTGCAGAGAAACTGCAGAGCATTACCTTCGATAGCATAACATATTAGGTGTTTCCACATTAAAGTGGCCACCACATCCGGCCTTAGTAAAGGTCAAGCTGTAGTCGGCTTAGTTGGCCGCCAGTGGGAAAAAGAAAAAATAGCAAACCTTCTATAGTTAGCAGTGAAACATATTTGTGCATCGGCTGAAAATACTTTAAAAAATCTCTATCCTCCGAAACTCATACACGATTTGCATCAGTATCACAAATATCATACCAATCTGACTGAAGTAACTTTCAACTGCAATCAGTTACTCTACCATAATCCTTATATATTCTGTACTTGCATTAACTGTATTTTGCTTGACGTATTTCTTTTTTTATTTAAGTTAACATATTTTTAAATTTCGTAAAATTAATAATGTCTTATATTTTAATTTTAAATAATTGTGACTTTTGCCTTATTTAATGCATTATTTTAATTTTTATAGCAATAACTGTGTTAATTATTTACTGTCATACTTAATGTTTCATTAATAATTTAACTTACTTTGATCATTGTGGCATGTATATCCATATAACTCTGTTATATTTTGTTCCTGTATTGCATGCATATCTACAAAACGTATTAGACGTTCACGTTACGGAAGGCTATTAACAGTATTTCAGATTTTCAATTCATATCTAAGTTAGTAACATATAGAAGCTGTACGTGTTCTCCTTGCCTGCACTACATCCTTCATTCATCCCTGTACCATTCACTCGTATAGCATTCGTCATGCCTCCCAAACTTTGACTGATGATGAACTGAAAGGTCAGTTTGCTAACTGTCCCAATGGTCGTATGCCCCGCTCACAAGAAAAAAAAAAAAAAAAAAAAAAGGAGAGAAAGAATGAAAATCGGAAAGGCAGTAAAATATTTCAGAAAAATACTGACATCAATAAAATTACTTCATAAATAAATTGATAATGCATTAAGAGATGGTTTTGAATATACAACATAATAAGAAATTTCTTTTAAAATTTTATACGCAAAAGGATAAAATTTTTCAGCTCAGGTTTTATCAAATATTTATGTTAGCAATCGTATTGTTTATCAGCCCTTAATAAATAATAAATAATAATATAATGAAATAATATAATGATAAAAATGAAAAATGCATTATTTCATGTAATTTATTATCGTTGTCATGTAATTTATCAGCATTTCAATCGAACTATAAACTCTACGGGAAATTCCCTTTTGAAAAATATATCTGCTTTGAAAACTCGTCATTTCCTTTATATATCAGAAGTAACTGTGAATTTCAGTTCTATCTGGAAAACTGGGGAATATACAGGAGGAAGAGTTTGTTTTACAGAGGTAACTGTTGTTGTTTAATAGCTGTATAATAGACCCATATCTCTAAACTATTCTTGAAATTATTAACGACTTTCCTTGCTAAAATGTTTCGTCTTGGAATTAAATGTTGTTAAAACTAATATTTGTGTTATGGAATATTTTGTGAGTAATGAATACATGAATTATTGTTTGTGTTCCTATCTTGGAAAAGTTTTAAACCTATTAAAAGCTGGATAGTTAAGACCGCCATATACTTACAGTTTGATAGAACATGAACGAAGTTAGATGCATTGGCTGCATGAGCCTTTTTGTGTTTTTTCCTTATGTGTAAGTCAATTTGTCTTAAATGGATTATATGTCAGTTTAGTCTTAGGATTAAATTAAATTAAAAGTCTTAGGATTAAAAGTCAATTTGTTTTAAAATGTCCTCCACGAAATTTTCTGTTCTTAGCAGATAAATATAGCGTGTTTTTTTTATTATTATTAAAGTGAACTAACCAATAAAAAAAATTCTGAAAATTAAAAAGTATGTGTGAAGTATGTATGAAAAAAGTAAAAGTATGTATGAAAATTAAAAGTATGTACGAAAAAAGGTATGTATGAGGAAGAGGCGAATGAATAACGTTAAGTTTGAGTAAAAAAACAAACTCATGTTTCTATCAAGATTAATTGACAACCTACTTCATATACTGGCTATGTAGATCCTCACAGATTTTTTTATATAACGGAAAAACTAATCATCTAGCTATACACCTACAAAATGAAAGAAAAACTTATATATATATTTGTGTACGTAATACTTATCTATATGTATGTACTTACATGAAATAATGTATTTATATGTAGATATAGATATAGATAGCTAATAATTTTATTATATACATATATATTTTATTATATATAATAATTTATTTCCTAAACAGTATTGATTAATTGATTATATTATCTCCTAAGTTTAATTAAAGTAGAACTATTTTAAAAGTGTGCATCCATACTGGTAAGTTTATATTTGAAAGATGTTTTGAAGTAATTTGAAAGCAAAATGTTAATAAATGTTTTAGCGGGGACTGGAGTTTAAATCATCACGAAGAATAATATTTCAATTGTATATCAATTATTATATATATATATATATATATATTATATAATATATATATATATATATAGTAGGTAGATAGATATATAATAATTTTATTATATACATATATATTATACTATATATATATTATAAAATGTTTCATTAAAACGTTATTAGTAAAGTTAAATAATTCTCTTCCGCCAATGTTACAAGGAATGAAATATGAATTTATTTTTAGAGATGATAAGATTAAAATTTTAGGATTGTATTATTTTTCGTGTATTTACATGCTTGCACTTTATTATTTACTTATGTTTTCTGAATTTAATGATATTGCAAATTGGTTTGCAGGAATAATTAATCAATTTATTTTGTTTGCAACTGAAATTGCATAATTAAAATTTAATTTGCTTTTATATATATATATATATACATAATGTTGTATAGACATTAGGTATTTTTTTTTGGAAGCAGGAGAAGTGAAAAATGATCAACGCCTTCGCCGGGAATCGAACCACGGACCTTTGGAACACGCGCCCAGCGTGTAGACCACCACACCACGAAGGTATGTTAAGAAGGCTGGAGAAATACCTTATATACCCTTTTAAAATGCGACTGGGGTTTTAGGGGACCCAATCGCCAAATCCCGGGTGTGAAGATTCATCATCCACCACCCTTTTAGTTCGGGCGCCACTATAGAAATATTAGGTATTTATTTGGTATTTTTTGGAAGCAGGAGAAATGAAAAGTAAGCAATGCCTTCGCCGGAAATTGAACCACGGACATCTGGAAGACGCGCTGAGCGTGCAGACCATCACACCACGAAAGCATGCTAAGAAAGCGAGAGAAATACCTTATAATGTAATATATATATACACGAGTGTTTGTGTAATATAACGAGTAGAATAATTCAGTCACTTGTCGACAGTGTTGAAAACGCATTAGGAAACTCAAGCTCAAGGTAAATTAGAATAATTAGTAAATTTAGGTTAAAATAATTGAAACAAAAAAATAACAATGAAAGGAGTCAGTGAAAGGAAAGGCAACGCCATGGTACGTAGAATCTCTTCCACCTATCGCATGCTCTAAGGGTGTTACAAATGACAGCCATTAGGAAATCGGCTGTCAAATGAAATGGCTGACGATGCCATAATTCCTGGTTGTCGAGCTAGGTGATGGTCGAAAGTCAGGTGAATATCACACCGCTGTCCTAGACACCTCAAGTTACGTCATCGCTGGTCATCGAAGTTCAGTTCGAAGTGGGACCCATTGCTGAAAACAAATCTACTCCAGTCTGTGATACCCCAGCTCGAATGCGGCCGGCACCACTACAAACGTGCTGGAGCTGAGGGACAGTTGGCGCAATGGCCTTTGTGACTTCTTCCCCCCTGCGCTGAGTCGTTTGTCAATCGAGATTGCACTCACTGTTGCCCAAAAGATAGACATCCCTGTATTGAAGTATTCAGTAGAACGGTTCACTACTTTAATTAATTTATTTTATAAACAACCTTCTAATGCGCAATTATCTAATTTTAAGCGCTATATGATAAATATTTCTGTAATAGTAACTATTACAAAAACTCTGCTAACTCTTTTGAATCTTATATTTAATTTATTTAGATTAAGTGTTCATTATTTTATCTAGCTATTTATTTTATTTTGTTTATTATTACTATTATTACTATTATTGTTATTATTGTCGTTAACATAAACTGTGTATTAATGAGTCTTTAATATTTATTTGTATTAAATTTATCTTGATTAATTGTGCATTAATTTGCTTAACCAATTTTTATTAAAACCTGTAAGTGTAATTTGCTAATTATATGTTGCTATTTGGTTTTATAGTTTTAAAGCGTTATAATGTGCTGCTGGTGGTACTCGGTTATTAGTCTTCACCTGTCTGTCAACAGCTTTAGTTTTATTCCTAACGTGAAGTGTTCTCACTTAATATCGTAACTTCAGTATTATTTTTTGCACTTATAAGTACTTTACGTACATTACTGTAACTTAAGTGTGCATCCAGGTACGGCAACCCCTTCAGCTGACTTTATTAACTCCATACGTACGTACCAAGACTTCCCTTCTGCACAGCTGCAAATAAAGAGAACAACAAACTCTTCTACTTCTGTTCCCAGAATAGAGGCTACCAATCATATTTGTGACCAGCTACAATTGTTCATTACACATTCCAACTTAAATAGTCAGCAAAAGTCATTCTAAAAAACTTAAATAGTCAGCATCTGTGAGAAAGGAAATAACTTCCTTTGTAAATACAGTTCGCAATACATTTCAAAAAGAAAAATTTCATGTTCAGCTACAAAGCCAAATTCGGGCATTGCAACAGCGGTGCGGGTCATTTGGAAACCATTGCTCCTACTGCAATTATTCCGTAACCTCCTCCTGCTAGAAGAAAAAGAGAAAACGAAACGGGAGTACTAAGACTTATTTCACCGAAATACGAAAGAAAATGCGCCAGACAAAGCCGCCTGGGAAAAAGTAATCTGAACACTTTTTTACTAATCACGCCGTACGACTTAGATCGAACTCCTAAGCGGGTTAGGGTCCAGCATACCTCCGACATAAGTGCAAGAATAGGCATTACGTTTGAAGAAGTTCGCATTATCCGTTCTAAAGAACTGATGGTGGGAACACTGATGGGGAACACGTAAACATGCTTCGGAAATCGATAAAGGAAAACCTGCGCTTTCTTCAATAGTTTCTGGGAAAATCTTCAGTATCCGAAAGACTTCGGTAATAGTTTACAGTTTGCCACAGCTGACGATATAAAGTGAGACATTTGGGAATCTGGCTTCGTCAGTAACACAGTCCTAAATAAAGGCGCAGTTTCCACGGCTTCCTCGATCCAAATGAAAGAGACGCATTGGGAACGACCTTCAGGAAACCTGCGCAGCCATCAAGCGGAAGATTTTAAAGGGTAAACGGGAATGTTGGCAAAAATATTCTACCAGTGCTATTGAAAATTATGGAAGATTATTCAGAATAGTTCCTGATAAGGTCTGCAAAATAATAGGCCTAATTGCGTCTGTTTGTCATTATGTTAACACAAATTCTCAAACTTTGACACACGTTTTGGAAACTAATTTTCAGCATGATGAGCTCCATAAAGACATCATTGTGCAGAAAGAAATACGAATTAATACTGAGCAACAATATATTTCACCCATTGCTGTCTCTGAGCCGTTTCCAGCAAGAAAGGAACTAAATGACATAATCAAAAAGCTCAACGGCATTCTCAAACTAATGCACAACAAGCACCTGGCATTACGTTCCTCCTGTATACAAAAGTACTGGAGATTTCCCCACTTTCCTCAGGGCCCCAAAACTGCAGAAGTTGCCTTCTTCCTAAAGGAAAATAAAGATCCGAATGAGGCCACTTCATAGAGGTCTATCAGGCTGCTTCCAGCCATAGGAAAAATCCTCGAAAGAGTGACACTTCAATGAGTGAATTTTAACATTCATGCTAATAAATTCATACATGCTAATCAATATAGAAGAAAAGCAGTGCACCACACTACTGAATCACCTGCTGAACACGGTACTTAAAAACAAACAGAATAAAGAGGATCACCATCGACATTCTAGGAGCCTTCGATTCGTTGTGATGGCATATATGTTTTGGAATGTTTCATAGATACTAGTTTTCCGAAAACTTTACTTGACTTCATCTATAGCTAGCTGAGTGAAAGAGAAATTTAAGCCACAACGGACGGAGACGTCAGCTTGCAAAATATTATTAAAAACAGCCTAGGGAGATTCTGCCCAATTCCGCTTTTGAGGAACCTGGTAGCTAACACCGCTTTCAACCTGCTAAAGCGCACGAGCTTACTCCATGTATAAACCTACATGGCAGGAACATAATATAATTCGTGAGATATTTTCGTTACTTGGGTGTGGCTGCACAAACTGTCTAACACAGTAAGGAAAACAACAGTTCCTAGCTAGGGCTTATCCTCGCAGATGCCCAAGGTGTGTCCCTTCTATGCGCCATAAAGTATATACTACCGCATGCTACTATAAAGTGCTTATGTGCTCAGCGATGGTATGTCACCATCGCTGAGCGCATAGCACTTTATGGTATCTCCGTGTGAGGCGTCAATGTCACGAATAACAAGCACAAGCTTTGAACTCTGCACAAAGACCATTTCTGTTTATCATCTGCAGAGGATTCCGAACATTTTCAACAAATAGTAAGGGAAAAGGGAAGAGATTAGCAAGAAATGAAATAAAAGTCAATTATAAATACGAGCAAAAGGATTTATTACAGACAAAAGTTACAAATGTTCGATATATCTGCCACTATTAGCGAAGATGCACAGAATACTATCAAAGAAATATACCCATGGTAATATGATGCAGATCGATTTGGACATTCAATGCTTTCCGAGCGATATTTTCTTTTGAAAGCCACTTAGTGTAGCAAATCACTACGTTTTATCCGGAATTTTACATAATACCAAAGCCACTGTTAAATCAAGGAACAACAGATGACATGCGAATAGAGTATAATGCAAAATAATGGGAACACTGAACTGATTTAAAAACAGTTATTTCACTCTCTTAGCCACGAGTAATGAGGAACCTTCTTGCATTCAAATGATATTTTGTAAAATATTCCGTACACCGAACTCCAACCTCATGCTTGTGGGCAGTGCTGATACGTAAGTTGTAACTGTGACACTGCATAGTATGTAACCTGTGAGTAAGCGTAATATTTCGAAAACCGTGGAATCAAGATGAATGCACTGGTTTCGAAATTTCCGAGAAAGGATCTGCCGGATTTCCACCCACATTCTCCGATCGCTGTATTTGAAGTGTTGATGGTAGAACTTTCTGGAATTGATTGAGATAGTTTGTAATACGTCGGACACCTGTTCTGGCACCCTCTGTAAATGGCTTGATGACTGCAATATTCATTGGCGGCTGACACACCTTTTCAGTCATATTTCTATTCCATGTTTACGAACTTGCTAATTAAATCATGCACAGTCTGCCTTCAGCACAAGTCGCTATGGATACGAAAAAAGGGAATTATTGCTTCCCGAAACAATGACATCGTTTCTGTAAAAGAACTTCATGAATTCACTCCATTGTTTTGGGGAAAGCCTCGCTGTGCTTCTCCTTAAAATGCGTAACCAAATAACAGCGCTTCACTTGAATACTGTTTTTGTTTCTAAATGGATATTTAGACAAAAGAGGGGCAGGAGGAGGTTAAGGACGTTACAGTAAGCTTAAACGATAGAGCTGTCTCTTGTTTTTGCGAAAAAGAAGTTCTGTAGGTGTTGCGGGTATTGCCTCTTTCGCTTCCCCACTTTAAAAACGTTATCAGTTTTGTTTCCTTTCTACATATACTGTTCTAATGCTGTACGTTATTTTCTGTTTCGCACAATCTCGTGCCATAGCGAAATCTTAGAGTTCGTATTGGATATTTTCACGACACTGTTATGTTAACTGTGATACATTTTCTATCCCTGTTGTCATGTAACACAAGTGCATATCATCCTAGTTAGTCTGAAAAGCTCGCTTTCCGCATCACCAAAGTTATCATTAGTTGGTTTGTACTTTACTATTACCTTGTATTTGTAATTTCTTAAATGCATACTGCAAATATATTATGTATTCCAAATTTCTTCTTGTTAATTGCGTAAATTGTAAGAACATGTTTTCTTCATTCCAAAATACTGATTAGATGTGGATGCTTTGTTAAATATGGTGACATTTAGCAATCAAATTTTGAGCTATAGCTATAATTAAGTTGAATGAATTAAAAGTTAATTAATTTCACTTTTAAGGACTTAAATTTCAATTAATCGCTCTAGTAAAACATCATCATTTTAATAATAATAATATTTTAGCCCCAAGTGCACAAGAAATAAATTTAATTTTGTCATTCAAAACCACAGAAACATGTGGTTTATGAATTTCGCGTTAATAATCTACAAAATTCAGGTTTGACATTTCTCCGCGAATCATTGTTGAGCTGATCAGTAATTTAGCTGTCTCATCAATAAGAACCTTAGTTGATCAGGATACAGGTAGGGAAGATAAATGATACACACTCAAGGAAAGTGAAAGATAACCACATAAGCAATAAAAACTTATATGAAGATTGAACTCTCAGCTTCAATTTTTGACCTATAGTTTGCATTCACTAAACATCATACTGTCTGCCGTGGATGGCTATAAAAATAAAATTAATTAGCGTACTAACATTTTACATGTGTGGGTTGCATATTCAAATATTTTTTAAATAAAAGAATTTTAGATGATTTACTTTTTTTCATTTTAGATTGAGAACTAGACTATAGCTTGAACCAGTGTCTCAATATTTCCAAGTAATGGACAACCCAGAATTACTCAAACAAGACCCAAAATTGATGGATGGATGTGAATCTGAAGGACGAGAAGAAACCTCACTTTCGAGATCAACTCAACGAAACGACATAGCTGAATCAGAATTAGCAAGTGAAGAAGAATCTTTCATGAACTCTAAGACACTGTCGACCAGCAATGATTTAAAATCTAATATTACTGTGTCAGAGCATAACCGGTTTACTTTACCAACATCTCACTATGAGATATCTGCTGATACACATAGAGAAACTGAAATACGTAATAATACACCTAGAACCACTGGTTGTGAAGGGATTACAACTGAGTGCCAGTTAATGAGTGAAACAGAACCAGCGACTGCTCATATTGATCAGACGCTACCATCAATCATAACTGATGACGATTACATCTTTTACAACAATCCATCAATAATTCTTGCTGATACCAGTAAAATAGGAAAATGGTTACTGTTCTGCGATATCGGGGAGAGATGTTCGGAAAATAATATGACAGACTTAGACCGAGCATGGCTGAAAACAATTGACCTCATTAAAAGTACCAATCTTCGAATCATTCGAGCAAAATGCTCTACAGCAGCTAAGGTTCTTGACTGTTCGGTGCGTTCAACGCCACATGGTGTTATTATGTTTTACACCCCTAATTTCACTAATAAAGCAGAAGTGAGAAGCATAGCTGATGAAATTTATCTGAAAATAGGTAAAACAGAAGATAGTGCGTCAACTCTGTTCGAAATGTTTTATAAAACTGATGAAGCAAGTAGACAAGGCGAGTACGTTCATCATCAGAAGAGAAATATTTCTACTTACTCATATAGGAATGGAGCATTTTTCGAACGAGATATGAATTCTTATGAATGGAAACTTGTTCGAGGCTCTTCAGGTTCGAACTCAGATGGCCACTACAAACAAGGAAGCCCATTTAAAAGACAGTTTGCAAGGAGATAGCCGGGAAGTTCGACATAAAATTTCGACATAGATGATTTCTTGTCAACAAAAGTAGATTTACCCTGTTGCCAAGCAAATATTCTGCTTGACGACATGTGATTTTAGAGTCTCTTCAAATTAAACGTTCTCTAGAAAGAATCAGAAGGTTTCGCAAAAATGATCTCTAAAAAATTATGATAAAATGAAACAATATACAATGTCATTTATTTCCTGTTAATAAGTGATGAGTTTATTCATAAAATGCTGCAAATAAATCTAAATTATAAAAATGTATTTAATTCAGGAATTAATTTGGACTCTTATTTCCCTACAGTGCAGATGATTATCCTAGAGGAATTTACTTAATTCAGTAACTGAACATTTTTAAGCAAAATGTTGGTAAATTTAATTAACATTTAAAAAAAGCGGAAATAAGTTTTATATATAATTTTCAAACTTATTACCCATGTTTTGAATTATTTATTGCAGATGCATAGTTTCAATTAAGAAAAATGAATCAAATATGGAAGCCATTCATATTATGCACAATTTTGGCTACGTAATACAGCACGTAAGAAGAGCTTTCTGCCTTCCATAAAGCAACACGATTTGCATAAATAGTTTTTGAACTCAAAATTTAGAGTTTTACTTTTTATTTGATGCACATCAAATTAGTACATAATTAATAAGAATTACATATTTTTAAATCAGTTTAATCAGTCATTATATTGTGAAAAACCACTGAAGCTGCATAACTCTGGAATGCTTCATTCTAACGCACACCTTTTGTTCGTTTTGGTCATACCAACTATTTTTAGCTGGTATATCTTACTGCATGAAGATCAATTCTCATTTATAGTAAAAACAAAAATGTATTTTAAAGATCTCAGAATTAGTTACTGAAGTACATTTATCCCCTTTTCTATGTGCTTCAAATACGCAAATTCAGATCCTGGACGTTTCATATTTTTACGTGGCTTATAATATTGCTTATAGGGAAAATTTTTGTTTAGATAAGCCTTAAAAATCAAAATGATGATATCAAAACTTATTTCAGAAGTCTATAACTCCATTAATTTTATTCATAGATATTTGATATTTAAATCATTTAAGCTAAGAACGTATACGGGATTTTATTCTGCAAAATCTCAACTGAAACAATGAATAGTGTTTCTATTTTATTTTAACTTAAAATGCGACTGACATGAAATGTATATAGATATATAAATGAAATTATATATTTCTTTCTAATAAAGCCTATTAAAATGAAAAAATGAGTAAGTTATCGCGTATCTTGTAAGACTGACATACTTAACTATATAATAAAGTGTTGCGTTGAATCTAACTGAATATTATTTCATTCAGTCGTTCTCGCCTTTAAATTAAATCTGGCTCCATTATAGAACACTTGAAAGGAAATATTTTAAATAAACAATTATATTTTGTTGCTGAAGAAAGCCGAACTTTATTTGCTTACACACTTAAGGAAATCAAAGCATTATTCTAATCTGTCTTACTATTGCCAAACTACAAAACAAAACTCCATCTAAAATAAAAGGAAAACAACAGCTGTTGATTATCGTTAACCAATATAAATCATGGAGCTCACAACATAAATCTTAAAGTTATACTACACTAGTGTGCAAAACGTAAACAACGTTTCTGATTTTGGTCATAACGTCACAAAAAATCAACTAAGAGATATGAAATTCATGCTGCAGAGGCACAATGGAAAAGTTTGAAAAATGCATAGTAGCAAAAAAAATTGACTAGAATGCATATATAACAAAATGAACAGAAAAGGGCGTTTTTGAAAGAATGGCGTTATACAAAGACTTGTTTGGTGAAGAGGGTGAACCACAAACCAAACAGCCTTAGTAAGAGATATGACCGTCCCTAACTACTATGGCTGCGTTCCACCGTCTGTCGATTCTCAACGCCAGATTAGTAAATAGTTCTTGGGGTAAGAGTTCCCATTCTTCAAGGAGCATCTGTTTCAGCTTTCTGGTGTTCTCTGGAGGATATGATCGTTCAGCCAGGCGTCTCTCTAAAGTATCTCACACTTATTCAATGGAATTTAAATCAAAGCAACACTCTGGCCAATCCATTTAGTGGATATTATCACTTTCCAGGAGCTCCTCAACAGAATGCTGAGTCAAATGTGGCCGTCATCCGTAAAACCTAATTCCGGACCAATGGCACTCCCGAAAAGACTCACGTGAAACAGGATAATGTCATCACTATAACGATCTCCGGTAAGCAAACCTCTGTCAAAAATGTGGAACTCTGTTCATAATGCCTCCCTATGTAAGTATAGCCAAGACTACCTCCAAAGTCCTTTTTTCCTGAAGTTAATAGGATTGAAGCGTGTTCCTACATCTTTCCGTATCACGTGGCGTCTAAAATTGTTCTGCTGAAACGATTCTGATCTATAAAAAGAACGGGACTCCACTGTCAAAGTGGTCAGTCTTTGTATTTTCTACACCAGTGTAAACGGTACCGCCAACAGGCTAATCTCAATGTTATGCAGCGCTCAGGACGGTGGGCGAATAGGTCATCTTTATGAAGTCACCTGGCCACAGTAAATCGGGACGCCTGCCATCTGGTTGCCTTGTGCAACTACTGAGCAATGTTACCCGCTGTCTGATTTCGATCTCCTAAAGGGCGATGTATCCGTCATCAATCACCGTTTAGAGAGATAACACTTTTATAAGCTCCAAACTCTAGGGTGACAGACGTCAAACTATTCCCCTTCTCAAGCTTTCCAGACATTCTACCACGCGCAAAGGTGTCCTGATGTTTCATGTACTCATACTGCACACACGTTTTGCTTGCAGAATGCCTGGAAATCTGCTTTTCTTTCTTTTTAAGTCGCCTTGCCCTGCACGCACTGACTCCTCGCGTTTTGCTTGTCCTGACATCTAAGTAATGCATATGCGACTATAGTATCATGGCGCCACTTATGTCATGATGCCATAATTACATATGAATTGCCTTTTTAATGAGTTAGCTTTTCACTATACTGATCGCAAAAACCTTTTGTAACAGTTTCTTGGGTGTATGTTGAAAAATTGTCTAAACATTAAAGTAATCACTAATAAATTCACTAAAGTTTATTTAACTAGAAAAAAAGAAATAGGAATTATTTTTTATAACTAGCCACTTACGCGGTAGCCGGCTATAATAATAATTTTAAAAAGAAAAAATATATATAATAGTTTTATGAGTCTAGCTAGCGTAATTTCGTAATATTTAATATCTTTAAAATTTATGATTAGACATCTTATGATTTAAATGTATTTTTATTTAAAGCAATTAGATTAAAAAGTAGAAAAAATAATCTTAAGAATTGCTTTATTGCTTTTAAATCACTCGGTTTGTTAATCAGTAACTGATATATTGAATCTAAAAGTTAAATACCTTAGGATTTGACGAATGGCATCATACTGGGACTTGGAAGGTAAAAATGTTTTATTTCAGGCAGTGGCAATACGATGCTTTTAAATTGCCTGGGTTTGCTGATTGAAAGTAAAAAATAAATATCTTGTATTTTACCGAATGGCAACAATTTGACGCGATGGCGATACAAGTATTTTATTTGGAGCAATGTTGCCACTGGTCACTTTTATGTTGCTGAGTTTGTTAATCAAAAATTCATTCAATTCGAAAAAAATATGAATTAAAAAATTAGAAATTCAATTTTCGGGATTTGTCGGCACATGTTCTGGTGGAGGAAAAATGTTCCAAATCTGGTGGCTCTACGCATCGCCATTTCTCCAGAATACGAGTAACATACGTACAACTTCTTCATTATTTGATAACTGGGATTTTGTAAACTTTTCTCCTTAACTTCAAACTATTCCTAGTTAAACGTAATCTGATATAAGGATCTTTCAGTAGCGAAACTTTGAATAATGTTTTTGAGTGTTTAAGTCATTATACAAAAACTCTACTTTTACTAGAAATAATAAAAATCAATGGTTCATCTACAAACACACGATGAAATTCAAAAATGAAATCCTAAATGCAGCAACAATATATGATGAAATAGAATGTCCTGTTAAATTTATTTAAATAAAATTTCATAATTCTAGTAATTGACAAACAATTGTGGTCAATAAAATCTAAGCATGATGTTCGACACGAAATAATTTTACCTGAAAAGAATAGAATAGTATGAAAAAAATGGTGAAAAGAAATTTGTATTTGAGAGAAATAGAATCTGCATTGTAATAATACGGAAAAATCAAAGCAATAATACTACAGAGCAATAACAATATTATAATGATCATGCTTTTTTAGCTCAAAATAATAATAATTAAAGCTTTCACACTGGAATATATTTACTTTTTTATCCCGAATGAAACTATTTTAGTAAAATAAGACATTATATATTGGAAAGCAGCTGAAATATTTTTCGACTGAATTCGTGAGAACATCGGAAGATAGAATTAAGCAAACAAATAAAAAAAGGGAGGGTGAAACATCCCTTCAGAAAAGACACATGTTTATTTGTCATTGATAAATGTAGTATCGACTGTATTAAAATAAATATATGCTGCCTTGAGAATTTCTGCCAACAGTTTCCCAACTAATTATTCTGTATGCAGCTTACAGCAATAATCCTCTCCTCACAACTGTAAATAGTTCCATTCATGAAGAAGTTAATATTTGTAAAACATTCTTTTCTTTTTTACCATTTCCTTCAAGGTATTGTTTCACTGTTTTGTCCTTGGGAAGAGGAAACCGGGGTTTCATTTTATTACACAGCATTTACTTGGATGAAGACTCGTTTAGGAAGTAGGAATTACGTTCAGTAGTCCATATCTGTATGTCATTTTGGAACATTTTAAATCTCAGTAATGGTCCTTAATTTTAAGTTTTGGTAACGGAGAACTACTTCTGTAGGTAAAGGAAGAAAGCAACTCATTTACATTCTATACAAATTTTGGATTCATAGGCTTAACATTTTTTTTTTTTTTTTTGGCTTCTAACGGCACAATATTTGCTTTGCTTGCATTATTTGAATTGAAATGTTCGCATCATTGTTTTGACACCTTTGCATTATCTGAATTTATATAAATTAATTTATGTGTTTTGATGACTAAGGCTTTTTAGATGAATATGATTTTATTTAATATTAAAGAAGAATTGATTTAAATATTCAATAGAAAAATTAAAATACAAGATAACTTAAAATATAGCAATATTATTATAAATAAGATTGTTTATTTCATACATGGTAGAAAATCAAAACTTTTGAACTTTAGGATAAATCACTTTTGGCATTCATC